GGAAGACTCTCTTCTCAGATACTTCCTCAGCAAAGCCCAGGGGCCAGACCTGTGGGGGACAGAGAGAGAGAAGCAGCCTCGTGTGGCTCCTGGAGGCCCTGGGTTCCTGTGGGAACTTTAAGGGGTGTCCTGCCCTGGCAGATTCTGGTGTTTGTAGTGAGGGGGAGGGGAGAGGGTGACCGTTAACTGAAGAATCAGAGCCCTACCCGCTCCCTGTGACCCCAATGGGGAGATCCTCTACAACAGGGGGCGGAGGAGCCCGAGGGCAGAGACAGGTAAGCTGCTCCTCCTGGCCCTTTCAGGACACTACCCTGTAATCTTCACAGCCACCCTGGCCTAGTACTATAGATAGGAACCTGAGGTGCCAAGGGCAGCTTTGTTGCCCAAGGTCACCTAGCTGGTACAAGTGGCAGAGCTGGGCTTCGTTCAGCCAGTCTGCCTGGCTTCCAATTTTGTGCCCCTTAACCGCTCTGCCAGGGGATGCAAACTTATGACCTAGGGCCGGAAAGTAGAACATTCATGTATTTTCTTTGGTCTGTCCATTGCTGGCACCATAGTGTTTTAAACTGGCAGCATTGAAAAATCAAAGCATTAATTTAGCAAATATTTACCCTGTACTTAGTCTGAGCATGACTCTGTTCCAGGGGCCCTAGGAAGGGAACTTGTTTAATAATTATCATAGCCCTATGAAACAGGTGCTGTGACTATGCCCAGTGTATGGATAAGAGAGTCAAGGGGGTTGATCAAGGTCATACAGTAAGGAAGTGGCGGAGAGATGAAATCTGAGGCCATGTGCTCATCTTCTTCAGCCTCTTTTGTTGTTCACACAAACATCTAGATTTGCAGTGTATCTTAGAGATTGCAAGCCCTGGCAATTCTGGCACTAGCCCACAGTTGAGTCAAGCTGCCCTCTTTAGATGGGCCACGTGCTCTTCAGTTTGCCATAGTTCTCACCCTTCCCTACCGTCTCCTTGACGTTTCTTATACCACGTCCATCTCACTCACTACTTCCTTATCTGTTTCCTGGCACCTGGGTTTGCAAGCCCTAAGCAATCCTCTCTCAAATATTGAAAAATAATTCTCAGGTAGTATGTAGGTTTTAGATCTTGCAGATCGTAAGATCTGTTGCAACTACCCTTCAGCTGTGACAGCAGAAAATTAAAGGGAAGGGTGTGACTGTGTGCCATTAAAACTATTGACTGGCCCCTACTATGTCCACTGAGACTCACCAACTCTGTCCCAACTCACTCACTTAAACTGTCTTGTGCCCCAACCAGCCTTTTGTCCCTCTCTGCCCATACTCTTCTACTCTCCTACTCTCTACACATCTGACAGGAGGCTTAACCTGCACTCTTAAGGCTTGGAGGCTGGGGGTGGGTGGGGCAGGGCCCGGGGCGGGAGGATTGGGATAGGACCTGCCTTGAACATGGTTCCATTCCCAGCAGAAAAAAATCTCTCAAAACTCTACAGCCCTTGAGGGATTTGGCAAGGCTGGCCTCGTCAAAGCAAATGAGAACTTAAGCGCGGATGACCAAGGAGTGCCGGGGACATGTGGACTGACCCTGAACGGGAGCACATTCTACTTCTGGGAATGTTTCCTAAGGAAATAAGCCTCTCTGAAGAGAAAGCACCTTCTCCAGGAAAACCATCCCACGTGAGTGATGTAGAATTCTGAAAAATGTTGGGAAGAAAGCCTCAGTGGGTACCCATAGGGATTGTGGACTGGAGGATCAGGTTTGCAGAAAGTGGCAGTCATCTTGCAAGACACTCTTGGCTATGTTGACTGGGAGAAGTGGAGGGTGAAGTGGTCTGAGCAGTGAGGTGTGAGGATGGTGGGTGAGTCAAAATGCACACTAAGGACAAACCACTGGAGGGAATCACAGCCACAAGTTGAGTGAGATAAACACATGGCCACTTAGTGCCTGTTTTCTAGAGTATGTCCTTGTGTTAAGGAAACTTCTATGTCAACTATTTTGGTCAATCCTCAGAAGTGGGGTAGGTTGATGTTGTTCTCACACACATCTTACAGAGGAGGAAATTGAGGCAGAGAGGGGTCAAGGACCGTACTCCAGGTCATGCATTGGTGGGTGCTAAGAGGTGGGACCAGGTCCAAGTCTTGGAGTCTGACCTGCCTGAACCCCCACTCCACCATTGCTCCTTTTGGGTCTAGGGGCTTCATGGGTGGTTTTGTCTTTTAAAACCTGGGAGTTTCCCAGATTTTCTTTAATGAGAAGGTTTCACAAACAAGCAGCAAGGCACTGAGGGGTCTGGACAGTATGAGGGCCAGTGGGGAGGGGAAGAGACCATGTGCCTTTTGACCACCCAGGCAGGAAAAGGGGGAGGGGCAGGGGCCAGTGTTTGGTTTCGGTCCCTGTTTTTCTTTCCAACTGAGATAAAATTCACATAACATAAAATCAACTGGTAGCCATTTTATTTATTTAAAAAAAGATTTTATTTTTTAGAGAGGGGGAAGGGAGGGAGAAGGAGAGGTGGAGAAACAACAACGTGTAGTTGCCCCTTGAGCATCTTCTGGGGATGTGGCCCGCAACTCAGGCATGTGCCCTGACTAGGAATGGAACTGGTGATCCTTTGGTTTGCAGACCAGCACTCAATCCACTCAGCCACACCAGCCAGGGCAGTGAAATTAACTGGTAGCCATTTTAAAGTGAACAGATGAGTGGCATTTAGTACATCCACAATGTTGCAAAACCACTTCTAAGTAGTTCCAAGGTGTGTTAATCACCCCCAAAAGAAACCCCATAACCACTAAGCACTCACTTCCCCACCCTCTATACTCTGGCAACCAACCACTACTTTGTGTCTGTAAAGATTCGTCTGTTCTGGATGTTTCATATAAATGGAATCATACCATATGTGGCCTTTGTGACTAGTCTCTTCTACTGAGCATCATGTTTTTGACGTTTATACATGTTGTAGCATGTGTCAGTGCGCCATCTCTTTTTATGAATATTTCATTGTATGGCTAGATCACATTTTATCTATCAGTTGATAGACACTTGGGTTATTTCCACCTTTTGGCTATTGTGATTACTATTTCTGTGAAGAATTGTGTACAAGTCTTTGAGTATTTGTTTCCAGTTCTCTTGGGTGTATACTGAGGCATGGAATTGCTAGGAACTGCCAGACTGTTTTCCACAGTGGCTGCATCTGTCCCCAACCCCATTTTTCCAAGAGAACATTCCAGTCATTTCAAAATTACCCTCCCTCTACAACAGGAATCTGAGATCTCAGAATGAGATGGAGGGAATGAAGGTCAGGTGTAACATGGGGATCCCAGCGAAGGAAATCCCCTAACATGATGGTCAAAGGTGCTGGAAGCTGAATGCCTGGGTCCTAATTCTGGCTTCTCTGCCCACCAGTTATGGTTGGCAAAGTCACGGCCCCTAAAGATATTTTCATCCTAATCTCTGGAATCTGTGAACATATAACCTTAAGTGGCGAAAAGGTCTTTGCAGAAGTGATTAAGAATTTTGCTCGGGACAAGAGTGAAGGGATCAAGTGAAAAGGAAAAAGGACTCGTGGACATGGACAACAGGGTGGTGTTTGTGGGGAGAGGGGAGTATAAGAGGCATAAATGGTAATGGAAAAAATACAATTAAAAAATTTTGCTGGGGAGATGATCCTGGGGACCAATATAATCACAGGGTTCCTTATAAGAGAAAGGCAGGAAGGTAGAGTCATAGAAGATGTGAGGATGGAAGCAGAGATTAAAGTGATGGGGCCGGGGCATGAACCAGAGTGTGGCCTCTAGAAGCTGGAAAAGGCAAGGAATGGCTTCTCCCCTAGAGCCTCTGGAAGGAACACAGCCCTGCCAACTCATTTGGACTCCAACGTCCAGAGCTGTGAGGTGAAACATTTGTATTGTTTTAAGCCACCAAGTTCGTGGTAAAAGGTTACAGCAACAAAAAGAAATGAATCCATTAGAAGCGTGACGAGCTGATTGCTGAGCTTCTCAAGGCCTCAGTTTTCACATCTGTAAAATCGGAATAGCAGTAATACCCACTGTTGGATTGCCACGAGAAATAAATTAGGTAACGTACATATAGCCTAACATTAGCTGACATGCTTTCCCCTGCTAAACCATGAAGCACTACAAGAACCAAAAATTGCTTCAACCTGGTTTGTAGGCAACTTCAAGCGCTGAGCAGTCTCTGGCCCTTTGTGGGCCTGGACATGGCTGTGTTCTGTAAGGAGGCAGGAGTGAGAGCTGCCTTACCAGACGGGGTCAGGGCTGTGGCCTCCTGGGGCAGGGTTAAGGTCCTCAAGCCCCAAGTTCTGGGGAAAGAGCTCATCTGAGAGATAACCGTAGGGTTATTGTAAGGATTAGAACAGATAAAATAAGTATCCAAGACTCCTCGTATGGTGTCAGGCACATCCCAGCGGCTCAAGGAAGGGTGGTGGAATGGACACTTCTTCTGTCCCTTCCTCTTTCTGCTTTTTACCTCCCTCCCTGTCTTTTCTTCATTCACAAAGTAAATAGCTGCCTAGTGCCCACTGCCTCAGTCTGCTTGTATGGTCTACTGAGAAAAAGGGAAAAAGCCCTGGAATGAGGAGGCTGGCAGACCTGTGGCCTCCTCCTGAGTCCTGCTGTATCAGCTGCTGTTGGGAGGCAGGAAGCACACCTGCTGGGACACAGGCCCCACCCTCCGGAGCTCTGGCAGCCCCTGGCGGGACCTGGGAGACTGGGGCTGGTTGCCAAGACCTCAGGTGTAGTGGATCCGGAAGCAGGAAGCAGCCTGTCTTCCAGGAGTTAGGACCTGCCTGGCTGGGGAGCTCAAGGCAAGTTGGGTCTAGGTATGGGACTGCTGGGGGGCGGAGTGGGGGAGTGGGAGGGGAAGGCGCTGCCCAGGCCAGGTTCAGAACCAAGAGAAGGGCTGAGAAAGAAGAGTTGAAGAATCTGGGGCAGGAATGGGGCCTAGAGGGATGGTGTGAAAGGGGCAGAGGCTGGACTGTGGGATGCCTGTATGTGCCCATCCCCATGGAGCCCATGGCTCTAAGGGGTCCCTCTGGGGGGCCGTGGCAGGTAGCACCCAGGACCCTCCAGCTGAGATGGACAACCTGGAGGTGCTGGAGTCCACAGCCGAGGAAGTGCTGGGGAAACTGAAGAGCCACAAACTGTTCCAGTCCATGTGGGACACGGCTGCCTTTGTTATCTTCCTCACCTTCCTGGGTAAGTGTGGTCTCTGCCTCCAGCTCATCAGCCTCACATGCCAGGCCCCAGGCAGAGGGCCATGTTTGGACACCTGTCCCCCCCCCAGGCACTGTGTTGCTCCTGCTGCTGCTTGCTCTCCTCCACTGCTGCTGCTGCCACTCCTCCAGATCCCAGAAGGTGCGAGCCAAGCAGGTGAGAGTCACGGGCCCCCAGCAGGCCAGAAATTGCACTGAGGTGAAGGAGGGATTTTAGACAGGCTGCTGGGCCTCCTCTAGATGGGGGCTGGCAGGGAACTGAAGCCCACCAAGCCCCCTCTGTGCCTCTCTTGTAGGAAAAGTCCATGGGAGTGAATAACTTGGCACTGGAACCTTAATGAGGCGAATCCTCCGGCCCCTCTGCTCATGTCCTGCTGGGCAACAGTAACAAGGTCTTGTTTGCCCAGAGCTTGAATCTGAAGTGTGTTCTGTTCCAACCTTCCATCAAGGGGCGGGCATTGCGGGCACCCACTGCTCCGTCTGGTGCCTACACGGTCCCTCAGCAACTACCGATGGGGAAGGAAGCCGGGCTCAAACCCCTAGGAAAAAGCCCTTGTCACTATTCCACTCAGCCCCTCAGCGGCCAAAAGGACCCTCTTAAAGGTGGTGTGAATAGGCCAGGGACTCAGTTATGGCTCCTGACAATCAGTGACCCCCGAATGTGGTCCCCCCTCAGACAAGACAGAGAAGTCCAGGCAAACTTGGATAATCTTTATTTCTTGGAGGCCTTGGTGGGGTTGCTGAATGAACAGTCAAGGGCACCCCAGCTCATGATAGGTGGCCTCTGCCTGCTTTTCCCCTCCTTATTCCTTCCCAACTCACAGCTTGGGGTCACCTCCTAACCCTCACCTTCCAGCAGGAGGGGGAGTACGGCTGCCCCTCACCGTCCTAGAGGCAGCTCACCAGGAAGGCAGCGAAACAGGAAGGAGAGCCCTGGGCTGGGCTCCACCTTGAGTCCAAAGGGCAGGGCATGGAATGTGGGCCACCTCTTGATCCCACCCTCCTGACCCACCCCCATCCAAAACAGAAGGCAAGTCAGCCTCCCTTCATCCCAGAGGTTCCAGTGTTCACTCCCACCTGTGCAAGTGTGATGGGCAGAACAGGCTGGGAGGGAAGTAAACTGCCCATAGCGCTCCCTCTGGCCCTCAATCCAAGGGGTGTGTGTAGTGGAAATGGGGACACTCTGGGTAGTAGCCACTTCTCAGGGGGACCAGCTCTTCGGTGCTCTGCTTAGAAAGGCCTGTAGCTCCAGTAGCTGGAGAACACGGAGATCTAGGAAGGGAGCAAGGTTGGGGGGACATGGTGAGTGGTGGTGCTGGGGGGCCTGCCCCTTGTTGCACCCTGTGACTCAAGTGAGATTTCAAGGTTACGCAAGGGCAATGTGTCAGGGAGAGGGTACTGTTGCCCAGCAGTGCCATGGCCCACCTGCCTGGTGTGTGCAGAGGGCACCAAAGACCTTAAGATTTGGAGGTCCTTTGGAGGTGAGACAAGAGGCCTTGGAATGCCCCCAAAATGAAAGAGCTTTGTACCCTGTTGCCTGGCTGGTCTCATCTGTCTGAGACTGGCCCAGCCCAGACCTTACCACTCCCATGTCCCCACCTTATCCTTGAGCTGCTGGCAGAGCTGCAGGGAGACAGTGAAGAAAACAAGGGCATCATTGAGCCACGGGATGACAGACTCCACTTTGTGCACGTGGCTCACTTCTAGACGCTGGGAGCCCCACTCACTGCAGGGAGAGGGGAAGAGTCCCTGAGCCCCCCAGCCTCTGAAGTGCAGAGGGTGCTCCAGGGCACCCCTCCCAACAGTGTACTTACAACATAGCCCCAGGGCTGTGGAGCACAGAGCCTCCAGCTGGGCGGAAGTTCTAGGCAGAAGTGTACCAGACCTGGTCAGGCCCTTGGGGCTACAGGGCATGGGCTGGTGGAGGTGAAGGGGTTGGAGGTTGGCAGGGTCCTGCTCACCTTGGTGGAATTGGGCTGCAGGGTGTGCAGCTGGTACACGGTGAGACAGAGCTTGTTAAGGTTGATGTAGACATTGACCAGCAAGTCGGAGGGCAGGGCAGGGGCAAACATACGCTGGAGGGGCAGGCAGGCAGGTGGGATGAGGGCAGGGCAGGCAGAGGTCCCCCCTAGAACCACCTGGGGGACCTCTGCCCTCATCTTACGCACTGGGGCATCCAGATTCTTCCCAGGTGCCCTGGGTAACTTCCTGCTCTGCCAGGCTTAGGAACTGCTGACTCAGACCAGGGGTGATATTATTTGTATTATTTGGGGGGAACACAGGATGAAAGCTGAGGACCCGGTCCCAGAAAACTGCACAGACACGCAACTCCTACTGATGACCATTTGGGGTACCCGTGTCCCTCTTCTAGGGGACCCACCCTCCTGGACAGAGGAACTGACCGTGAGGCCGCTGGCAGCGATCTCAGGCAGCGTCAGGGTGGCTGGGGTGGTGAGCCGGTTGCGAGCTCTGGTCAGCTGCAGCATCACGGCGTCCATCAGCTAGGGGGAAAGGGCTGGTCACAGCTGCTGCGAGGGCAGTGGGCCTGCTCTTGATCCCGTCCCGATCCCAGCATCAAGGAGCAACAAAGTTAGGGGTAGCTCTCAGCGTCTGCCCTGGTGGTCCTGGTCTCAGAGCTGGAACCCCCCATCCTCTGAAAGCAGGGGGCTTGTTAAAAATGCAGGTAATCGGGTTCCAGCTGGGGGAGGAGGGTAGGATGTCTATTGTGAACCACCCATACAGGAGCTTCTATTGCATGGGGTTCTAGGGGCAGGTCCAATGGGAAAAGAAATTCCAGGAGTTAAGTCCCAGGGGCATGAGGGCTTTGGTGATTGGGGGTGCAGGCAATGAAAGAGCTTAGAAGGGGCCCTAATCTCATTAGGGTAAAAGGGCAAGGGAGGGCTTCCTGGAGGAAGCAGTGAGACGCTAAGTTGATGCCTTAAGTCAGGTATCAACCCCATTTCCACAGGTGAAAAAACTGAGACTCTCAAGTGGTAAGGTCACACAGCTAGTGAACACTAGAAATATCTAGAACTTATCCCTTTCCTTTATCATGGAGCAAAGCCCTGGCTTGGACTCCTTAAGAGTCCCAGCTTCCACTGCTTCCAGCTGTTGCTGTGGGCTCCAGGATGACCTAGGCAAAACCGCTGGGTGGAGGCATAGAGGCTGCAGCTTATACCCCCCAGGGCAGTCACAGTTCTGGGAGGGACCTCAGTCCATCTAGTTCCAAGTTTCATATGAAGGATCAGAGGTCCAGAGAGGGGAGGTGAATCACCTGAGGACACACAGAAAGTCGGGGCATCCAGACTCGGTTCTTTCCTCCATGCTTTGTGAACTGACTGTTTCCCCACCTCTTGCTATTGCTAGTACTACTGCTAGCAGCTACTATTTACTGAGAACTTACTAGGGGCCGCTTTACCTGTGTTACCTCAGTTAATGGTCACTACATCTTGTCCCCCTTTTACAGGGGAGGATACTGTGGCACAGACTGGCTAAGTGACTTGAGGTTGAACAGCTTATAGTGGAGGCCCTGGAATAAGAACCCAGGTCTGATTCTGGAAGTTGGGCTGCGAGCCATTTGACTGTGGCTGGGCAGACATGTGTACACTGAGAGGTGAGGAATCAACTGTCAGCTGTACCTGAGGATGTGTGCGCAGAGTACTCCAGGGACCCAGTCAGAGGTCAGGGCTCGGTGTGGGGAACCTGGCTTCCCTGTCCCTGCAGGCAGCTCACCTTAAGGACCTCTGCTCCTGTTCTGAACTGGTAGCTCTCATCCCGGTTGCTGAGGAGGTAAATGGCTTGACTCACGTGGTTCCTGGCATCCTGGATCTGAAAACAGTGCCCACTCTTTGGTCAGTGGGCTGGGCCCCGGCGGGCAGATGTGCCAGATTCACAGCAGCCACGGTTAGGCAGCTCTAGCCCACAGGCCTGCACTCTGAAGGTTGGTCATCCTTGGAGGGGCGGGTGGGTTCTGCTTGCCTGACATCTTCCCCATAGCTGTGGGCTTCCTGACCTGGCTGGATGCTGGGCACAAGGCACAGACTAAGGAAAGCTTGGTTCCTGGCCTTCCGTAGCTCACCTTCTAAAGGAGGACAGATGGTAACAGAGTAAAAGTGCAAGATAACAGGCTGCATGCCTCGCACAAGGAAACAAACAGGATGATGGAGGAGGATCAGGGAGCCTCTTTAGATGGGGATCAGAGAAGGCCCCAGGGAAGTGACTCTTGAGTTGACATACATCACTCTTGTGATGAGAAAAGCTGGCAGAGGGAGGGACAAGAATGAGCAAAGGCCTGGAGGAGAAGACTGTTGGTGGCCAGTTGTGGGGGGAGCAAAAGCTGGGGCCCTGTCACTTCGGAGTTGATAGGGAGCTTGGAGTTTGCCCTCAAGAGCCATGGGAAGCCCCCTGGAGGCATAGGAAGGGAGTGACTTATTCAGGGGGAAATTCCTGTGGCTTTGGCTGGGGACTGGGGAGTACAGACAGTTTCACTTACCACAAGGCTAGTCTCTGGATCCCCAGGCCCCACCCACCTCAGCTTCGCTGCTAGGAAACACCGTACCAGGCTTGCTGTGGCAGCAAATCCTCAGTGTCCAGTCCCTTCGCACCACTGTGCAGGCCTGCCCCTGCCTGCCCTTGTGACCTGAGCCCTGGTCAGGAAAGGGCCTGTACCTGCTGCAACTTCCACTGCTTGTCCTCCCGGAAGGCAAAATGCAGCAACTGGTTGTTCCGTGGCATCTTTAGGTTAACGTCCTGATGGGTGAAAGTGGGATAAGCTGGGCAGAGAGATGCCCTTCAGCTTTTGGCCACTCTGAGCCTTTAAGCCAGGGGCTGAAACAGTGGTGGTTTAGGCCCCAGATACTGCTAGGAGGTAGGGGGAAGTATTCCAAACACCATGGCCATTTGGGAGTGAACCGGAAGGTCAGGAAACAGCAACTCAGGCCCAAGAGGAACCACAAAGAAATGAAAGGGAAAAGAGACTGAGAAAGGGGAAGGTGGCCTCAGCTGGGACGAGGTGTGTGACTGGGCAGACAAGAGAATGCACAGTCCTGCACAGGCCAATGGACTGAACACCTTCCCGTGAAGGAGAGGGACCTTCCCCCATGCCTTGGCACCTGGCACAGGGCTGGGTGCAGATGGAGCTCAGATGTTGGCTGGTTCCACTGTGATCTGGGGCCAGCCTAATCCTGCCAATGCCCATGCTTCACTGGGCCCAGACTCGGAGCTGGACCATTTACAAGGCATCCCCTTCCTGCACTTCTTACTGAAACCACACACCAATCTCATGAGAAGGCTGGGGGTTATTGTTATTTTACAAACGAGGAGACTGAAGCCCAGAATAGTCCAGAATCCTGCCCATCTGGTGGCAGAGCTAAGCAGGAGGCACCCACGCTCTTCCTCACTGGCTTCTCCAACAACATGGAAAGGGGAGAGGGGCCAGGACTCACCGCCTGGCTCAGCGCGTCCCCTTGCAGAGTCAGCACGCCTTTCACCTGGTCTGTGCTACAACACACAGGGGTCAGAGCAGAGCCCGAAGCTAATCCCGCCTACCACCCACCCATCCCAGCGGGCTGCTTTGGCTGTCTGTCACAGGATGTTCCAACCCAGGCACCCCACCCTCCTAAGGAGCCCATCCCAGGGGTTTCTGCCCAGCCAGGGCTTACCCATAGCTGCCCAGAATGAAGTTCTCTTGCTTGACAGGCCCCTCCGTGCCTGAGCCTGGCAGAGTGAAGCGGAGAGAGGCCTCCTAGGGGGCAGAAGGAAGTGAGGAAAAGTTCACTTTATCCAGCCCAGTGCTCCTTCCAGAAGCCCCACTCCCAGGTCGCCTAAAAGAGGAACACCTTACTCAAGCCTCCAGGGCACCTTTCCGCTACTCTGGCTCCTCCCCCATGGCCT